TGCATTTTCATAATCCCTGACATTTAGTTATGTAAGCCCAGACCGGGTGGCAACCAACAGCTTAAGAAACTGGGTGTTACAACATAGTGGTCAAGGAAATAAAGAACTGTACCCAAGAATGTCAGGTAGAAAAAAACCCCAAGATTGCACAAGACAGTTACCACAGAGTATCATGTCTACAGACAGGCTATTTAAGTAAAAACAACAGTGTCTAAAGAGCCAACATAAAGGCAAGGTATTGGAAGACAGTCTATTTCTGCATGTGTGAGTGTGTGCCTGCTTGCTTGTGTGTAACTGTAATCTAAAACACAATTTTCAAGAAAGTCACGTTAACCTAAGGAAGACATTGGCCAGATAAGTGAGATTCACAAACAACCCAGAAGTTTTTTTGAGTTGTACATTTCTATGCCCTCCTTTTAAGAGATTGCTAAAAGGACGTAGCACTCTAATCAGAGGTGATGATGGAGTACATTGGTTGTCTTAAAGCTGGGGGTCTTAATCTGACACTCAAGCATCCCTGCTCAGCTTGCCATCCAGTCCTGCTTGTAAGCAGGATTGAGCACCAGCCAAATGGAGGGTACGGGAAAGGCTAGACTTTCGCAGAACATTCCCTTCAGTGACACTACTTCATGCAGCATCTGTGACCCACCTGTACTTAAGTTCCAGGGAGTGTGCTTGCCAGAATTCTGCATTTGGGGGGAATTTCAATGCTATTAGTGGCATATGGAAAAGTGGAGAGGGAACAAGCTGTCCATATAAAATTAGGGGATAATGTAAGTTAGTCCCCAGGAGCCAGTGACCTTTACATATCGTCCCCGTCTGCTTCACTGGAAACAAAGATGGCTTCCAGCTCTCCATCGTGTGAGCAACAGAAATTTGCTCCACATTGTTGGCATATTTTTATCTATTTTATTGGGTTCTTATACCTACTACCCTTCCCACCCTTAGTCCATCCTAATCCCTCCCAAAGTGGGGGATAGGTATTTTAAGACTATTTTCTGCTGATTAGGGACATTGGGTTCCTTGGGGCGAGTCCAGTTTTCCCTCTCAGGATATCATCAAATTCTCATCAAACAGCAACCAGGGGCAACAGCCTTTTCTTCTTCAGAATGCCTGAGTCCCTCTTGTGGTGCTCAAATTTATACCACCTCCAAGCTCCCAGATAGTTTAAACACAAACTATCTGCAGCTGACAAAACCACTCCCCTGCCAATGCGTGAGGCAAATCATCACCTGCTTTGAAGCAGCCTCTTATCCCACACCTGGAATTAAAACAAAACTATAGTCACATTACATAACTGGTTTTTGTTTTGCTTTGTTTTAAGAAACCAGAATTCTCACTATCCTGCATTTTTTGCATGCTTTGTTTTGTTTTGTTTCTAGAAATTTTCTATGGAACATATAAAGGGTTTCATGAGGATTTAGCTCATCTTTTGAACCTGGTTATCCAGTAAACCAAAGTAACACACAGGATGAGAAATCTACTCATTCCTAGCCAAATCTAGTAACTTAGAAAAATCTTCTCACTTTTTTTTTCTTTTTCCTTTCTTTCTTTTCTTTTTTTTTTTTCTTTTTCCAAGACTGGGATTCTCTGTGTGTAGCCTTGGCTGACCTAGACTCGCTTTGTAGACCAGGCTGGCCTTGAACTCATGGAGATCTGCCTACCTCTGCCTCCCCAAGTGCTAGATTACAGGTGTGCAGCACAGAGCCTGGCTATCTCCTTACTTTCTAAAGTATTCATGTCTGGACTCAGTCCTACCATACAGATTCCAAGTAATCAAAAGGTGGTAGGGTAACAGCAAAGGGGTGTGTTTAAATATTATAATACAGTCAGCCAGGATTTGGCTTATGATAAATTTGTAACTATGAAAGTCTGAGTTCCATCTAAAATCATTGCTTCTTATTTCTGCATTTGATCAGGCAGAACAGTGTCATTTAGTTAGAAAATAAACCAAGAAAATAGACCATGAGAAATATTAATTCCTCTGCAGACATTTAAACAGAAATACTATAGAGTCTTCTATCTTTGATTACTTTAAAAAAAAAATCAGTGTTTTTAAAAGACCAAAAGGAGATATTTTTGAGTTTGATATTATTTACAAATGTTTTTGTAAATAATGTTTATAATAGGGGTGTCATGCAAAAGTCATTGGAGAATATGAAATAAATTAATTCTAGCTATATAAAATATATAGAGATAAAAATGATTTCACAGAAAAATGGATACTAAAGGACATCCTAACTTTTCATATTTTTGTTCCAAAAAATTAGAGTACTGAGGAAATGCAACTGTTGTCCTTAGTCTACTCTGTAAATAGAAGAGTGTTAGCTTACGTCCTGGGTTTGTGATGCAAGACTTTATATACAAATTACTCTCAAACTCCTTTTGCCTGTGTGTTGGGATCACAGACCCAGAGAGATCATCAGAGCTTTGTTCCACAGTTTTCATCCTGGTAAACCATAAGGAATTTCTCTAATACAATAAACAGGCCATGTCTTCACTGTTGAGAAATTTTCAAATTTGAACCACAAATTTCAGACACCACAGACTGCTCAGAGATGGGCAGTTCTTGTCTTGTGCTCTCAGGTAACCTGACAGATGGAAAAAAGCCAGCAGTAGCACCAGCCAGTCTATGCACACTGTCCCCTAGGACCAAACCAAGATCTCTGCCCTGTCCAACTCACACAGCTAGTAGGCGGATGAGGCTGATGGCTGTTTATTATCAGCTCTTATCTGTCACACAAACATCTAGTACTGGATAATGGTGTTCATAAGGGGCACACGCTCTTGTCATGTTCCTTTTCTCGGCCTTGACATCTTCTTCTGGAGAAAGTCAGAACTTGTGGTCTGGAGAGATCTCCCTTCAGGGTCACTCTGTACTATATGCAAAGGACTGTCCTATCAGTTTCGCTTTGTGATCTATGACCCTGTGGTAGACATGGTGTTTCAGAGCCCAGACTTTGACTTGCCTGAGCCTGTATCTGATGAAACACTAGGTTTGACCTTTATTTATCGGAAGCAGTTGAAAGAGGGTTCCCTCCAAGGAAAGCCCCGACACACACACACACACACACACACCTTGTATCAGCAGAGAGGTAGACTGGCCCACAGACCTGTGCATGAGCCGCCATCTTCACTTCCTTCAGACAGGGTCCTGGTGTGAAAGTGCAGAGATTACTTCAGGCTTCCTTGCCAAGATTAAGTATTATTGCCATTCTGAGCCTGTGACACCTAATGTGTGTTTTTATCACAAAACAATAAAAATGGGTTTATTTTCATTTAACCATCTTGTCCACCAGGCCTGCTTCTTTGGTTGATCATGGATTAAATGTCAATATGGAACATTTAATTTTTTTTTCTCCAAGAGGTCTCTCCTACAACTGCTCTGAGGATCCAAAGGTGATTTTTGTGGAAATAATTAGGGACAGGTACAGATAACATTGTCAAGGGTGACCATGTTGAATTCATCTCTGCAGAAAAGGGTCTGGTTTGAACAGCCGTGTAGGCTCAGAAGGGCCATGGGGCATTGAAAAGTCACTTGCATTTTTGTGGCTTGGACCTCTTTTCTGAAGTGTTCATCAGGAACAAATGTTGAGGATTGAGTAGCTCAAAATATACAGCACACTTTAAACTTGTTAGCCATTGAGATGGCTCAGTCAATAACAACACTTGCTGTATAAGCCTGATGATTTGAGTTTGACCTCTGTAACCCAGGGTAAGAGGAGAAAACTGACTCCCAAACGTTGCCCTCCAATCTCCAAATGCACTCCATGACACACAAACACCATGAGTGAACATATAACACAATACTAATAATAATAAACACAAATATTTTTTAAATTGTTTTTTGCCCCTTCAGGGTGTTTGCTACATCCATGTGCCAGCTATTCTAGGAACTGATTTTATTTTCGATGATGGCGGTTCTCCTGCCTTGGTCCCCCAAGGGCTGGGATTGCAGGTATGAACTATCATAACATGTTCTTCAGCCTTGAGCTGTTGACCTGGAAAGACCTAGCCGACAGACTCACTTCACAAGGTAGAGATATTTGCCACACTAGCCTCCTAGGGCACAGACTTGGCGTCTTGAAACAACAGAAACTTATTCCATCACATTTCTAGAGGCTGAAGTCCAAAAGCAGGATAATTGGCAGGACCAGGTTTCCTCCAAACCTCTGGAAGAAAGATTCTCCCGTGCTTTCTCCAGCTTCAGCATCCCTAAGCAGTCCCTGCCTGGGGATTCATCATTCCAATCTCCACCCCAGTCCTCATATGGCCGTTCTCCCATGTGTCTCTACGTCTTCCTTACAGGACACCTATCATGCTGGATTAGGTCCTACCCTACTGATCTCATCTTAATTTCATCACACTTGCAAAGACTCTGTTTCCAGATAAGATCTCCTTCACAAGTACCAGAGGTTGGGTTGCAACACTTTTTGTTTTCTTGTGGACTGCAGGAAAAGCAGGAAACACAGTTACACCCACAACAATTGCCCAATTATGATTTTGAGCCTGGAGTAAGGAGACTAGGAGTATTGAAGAAGAGTTCAAGATCAGTATGAACTTCAGACTTTCTTCTTGTGCAACTAAGACTGAAGGAGTTGGTTTAAACCTGTTGGTTTAAACCTATTGGTGCCTGGTTAATCATGCCCTGCCCATCACTGATTCCTTTTACAAAGCAGGTTAATACAATAGATACAGAGTAACTCTTGTGCCCTCACAGGCAGCTCTCAAGAAAGGATGACATCAGAAAAGTCAGAGAAAAGTCAACCTCCCAAAACCCTAGAAGACACAGAGCATGGCTGGGCAGAAATATCAAAGTCAGAATATACTCAAGACCTCCCAGGAATCATAACACAGCAGAGACATTAGTGAGCAAATCATTATTTTCCTATTCCAGTGAAAACCTATTGTGGGAAAAAAAAAAAAAAAAAAAAAAAAAAAAAAGTTTTTCTGAGACAGGTTTGAGAGGAAGTAGGAGAGTGGATGGGAGGAGGCTGCCGTCAAACCAGGCTATCCTTGGGTGTGGGGACTTCACAGATTTCGTAGAGTTGGGAGGGTCTCATCTTGAGTTCTCGGGCCACCTGACACACAGAGAAAGGCCAGCAGCAATACACCACAATCCAGTCTTCACAGAGGGTGCCCTAGGGCAAGAACAAATTACACAGTACCATTTGGTTTCTCCCGAGCCTGCTGGCCCATCCCACCCTCTGCTTCCAAGACCCCCCTTAAGCCAACCCTTAGGACATTGGGTAGCCCAAGTGCCAAGCCATGCCCCTTCGTTTTTGACATGCAGATCTTTCTGAAAACTTCAATTTTTCTTTTTAGACTCATTATATCTATTTTTTTTTGTAGTAGGTAATAAACTAAAATAGCTCCAAATTTCCATAGTAAAAAGGTATGGGAAGTTAAATCTCCCCTTCCCTCCTCCAGAGCTGGCCCCAGTCATCCAACCACCTGCCTAAAGACAACCCATTGGTTACCAGTTACATTTCCAGGCAAACTTTGTCAGCCTAAACATATACATGTATAGTCCTTTTAAGTCTGTGCCTTGTTTTGTTCATGTAAAAAGATATTTAGAGATCACCCTATAAAATACCTAGATACTATGTGAGACAGAGGAAAGAGAGAAAAAGAGTCTGTGTCTGTGTGTCTGTGTCAGTGTCTGTGTCAGTGTGCCCAATGCAAAAGGTTCCTTTGTGAAGACCATTTGTGTCTGCACGTGTATTACCCAGCTCTCCTCACCCTCCTCATGGCTCCACTGAAAGTTAAGGACCTCAGGGAACCCCCTAAGTAAAATCTACATGTGTCACATGGGCTACACTTAAGGTCAGACCACACCAATACATCCTCCAAATTAGGTTTTATTCCATCTATTATTTCCTGAAGTAAATAAGAGACGTATGTAGAGTTTTATTTTTGTAGATGGGAGGGGAGAGTAGGTATAACCTCCTATTTCTATGCATCAAAGCACATCTCGGGAAGTGTAAGTTGGCCAATGATTTGACCAAACCTGTTGACCAATAGCCTTCATTATAATTTCTACTTAGAAAGATCCTTTGCTGTACAGCATTTTAGTCAATCGATACTCTTAGGTAATAATGAAATCAAAACTTTCATCCCCACAGTTTTTCGTTGTGAAATGTTTAAGCATCTTCAGCCATACATCCCCCACCCCCTCTCTCTCTATCACTCTGGAAAATCATGGGTTTGAAAAGCATCACACTGAGAATCACACACACACCTCAGCTGCCCTTACCTGTATCTTATGTCTCTCTCTGGTGCCAATTCTCAATGCAAAGGTAGACCCTGGTAACAGTGGCCAACAAAGACATTCTCCATAATGCCTGGCAATGTCACACTCAAGACATATGGGACAAAACAGACCACAAAAACCTGTCAATTGAACATAAGAGAAAACCAGCACTCTCAGACATTCAGGGAATGACTTCACATCTTAAATAGATTCACAACCTTTTGCCATCAATTTCAACACTGCATTGTCCACCTGCAGCCAGGGACAGGGAATGAATAGACAATTCTTAAGACTCAGAGTGAGAAAATTGCCATTACTTAGCCATATCAAAATTGTGTTCTTTTGTTAAATATTTCCAAAGCTGAGCCTGACACAATTCTGTTAGCACTGACTATGATAACAGTTTTCCCCTGTCAAAAATGTTAAGTAATTTTTTAATCATAATTGATGCTTGTTATGTTCATCTATCTAATTGCAGTACTTAGCATGGACCTAGAATATTAGAATAGTCTTGAATAACAAATATCCCTTTCCATAATAATGATAGAAAAACTTTTGGGTATACACTGACTCTGTTTCTTATTCTTATAAGGGTTTTATTCAGATCAGAGCTTATTCAAATTTTTGCTAGCTTCACATAGCCACTGACATTTGTCCATTTTAATCTGTAAACTAATAGGTGATTGGATCCTTGAATGTCAACTGGAAATGGTTTCCATTTATGAGTTCATTCACTGTTAACTATTGATATGGGTTGCTATACAGCTTAAGTGGACTCTCTAACAAAAATTCTATTCTAAAGATGTTTGAGGCCACAGAGCCTTTTGAGAATATAATGGCTGTTGCGAACTTGTTCCAGAAGAAAAAATAATACACGCACATGGGCAGGCAAATTGTGCATTCTCTTTATGGAGTTCACGAAGCCACTGAAAACTCTTAATGGGCCACAAGTTAAGAGCGCCTGACATGCAGTTTAGATGTCACATTATCTATCAACGCAAAAAGTTGACAACCCTGATGATTTCAAATAATTAAGACTATGAACCCAACAAAAATGCCATGATGATCAGTCCTTTGGAAGAAACATACTATCTTAGTTAGAGTTATCATTGCCGTGATGAAACACTATAACCAAAGCAACTTGGGAGGAAAGGATTTATTTGGCTTATGCTTTCAAATAACTGCTCTTCATTGAAGGAAGTCAGGACAGGAACTCAAACAGGGCAGGAACCTGGAGGCAGGAACTGATACAGAGACCATGGAGGGGTGCTGCTTATGGGCTTGCTTCCCCTGGCTTGTTCAGCCTGCTTTCTTATAGAACCCAGAACCACCAGCCCAGGGATCATCTCGTCCACAATGTTCTGGGCACTCTCTCCATCAATCACTAATTAAGAAAATGCCCTTCCAAGCTTATCTACAGCCCTGATCTTATGAAGGCAGTTTCTTAATTGAGGTTTCCTCCTCTCAGATGATTTTAGCTGTGTCTAGTTGACATAAAACTATCCAGCACACATACTAAACATTTTAATCAAGAGTAATTTTATATTCACAAATTAACAAATCTTAAGTGTTGACTTTGGGAGAGTTTAATATATCAGGAAATGTAAAATGCTGCCCTCACGCAGTGTTGGTCGAGTTTCCATACAGTAAACCCACCCTTCCCACCCCTGATCCTGAGGGAAACACAGCCATGACTTCTATTCCCACAAGTAAAATTTGCCTCTGTCTAATCCCTCACGTCAAGGAAATCACATTTACTTTTATAGCTATTTCTGTTTTGTGCAATATCATGGGTATTTTTTTTTCAGATTTACTCGTGTTGTTACATGAATCTGTAGTTCTTATTGTTGGATAAATAGCATTTCATTGTATGAATATCCTACAAACTGTTCGTCTGTTCTCCCACTAATCAACATTTTTAGGCTCCTTTTTTATATTAATACCACCATGCTTTATCTGTGTTTCTACAATTCTTTATATGGACAGTTAAGTCTGTATATTTACATACCTCTAACTCCATATGTGGATAATATATGCTTTCATTTTATTTGAGTAGTTTCCCGATAGAGAAATTGCTAGGTCATCTGTTTATTTCTACAAATATAGACAAATAATTGTGCAAAACATCTGTACCATTCCATATCCTCTCCGACAACATTCAAGACTTCTAATGGCTTGACATTCTTGCCAGCATTTGCTATTGTCAGTTTTTATTTTAGCTGTTGTAAGATGAATGCAGTGTTAGTCACTGCAGCTTCCAGTGCAGAAACAAGTACAGTAGGTACCATGTAGCCTCAAGTAATTCTGAGACATGAGACATTTTAATCTGAATGTAAAAAAAAAAAAAAAAAAAAAAAAAAAAACTGACTTTGGGATATGGCTCCATGGTAGTGTATTTGCCTAGAATGATCAATGATCAGGCCCCAACACTGAAAAATAATTCCAAGCAGGTCAGGAGATTCTGCCCAGCAACGACAATTAATCTGAACAACTTAGAAAACAGCACAATTTACACTAAGCACAAGGACTCCCAGCGTCTGCAACCTTGAATTAGGGCAATTTGAAATCAATGGCCCGTTCTGTAAAAATTATGAAATACTGTAAATTCCCACAAATAAAGCAATTAACAAAACGTTTGCCGAGTTGCAAAGCTGGCAAACAAGCACCTGATCGATTCTGTTTGCACGTCTCTGAGCTGTCAGCATACCGTAACGAAAAGCTGATTGTGCCTTAGCGCTTCTGCGCCATGTTGTCGGGACCCACATGGGGCTCTTTTTATTATTATTTTTTTAAATCTTTCTGTGAGGTAACCATGCTGTATAAGTGTGCTTTTTAGATACTTTTTACTAAAACACTATGACCTCAGCAACTTATAAATGAAAGCATTTAATTCTGGGGCTCACGGTTCCAGAGCGTTAGAGTCCGTGCCCATCATGGTGGCAGATAGGCAGATAGGCAGACATGGCGCTAGAGCAGCAGCTGAGAGCAGAGCGCTAACTAGGAATGATATGGGCTTTTGAAACCTCAAAGCCCACCCCCTAAACACAAGTGACACGTCCGCCAACAAGGCCATGCCTTCTAGTCCTGCCCAGACGATTCTACCAACCGGAGAGCCAAGCATTTAAACATAGGAGCCTATGGGGTACATTCTCATTCAAACCACAATACTCAAACTTGATGACTTTGAAATGGAATTCAGCTGGGTTTTTTTTTTATACGAAGCTTAAATTTTTATTTCATAATAGCTAACATTTATAGAGTTCACTGTGTGGCAAGCTCTTGCTGAAAACATTTTGCACACATTAGTTCATATAATCTTTGAAAGGACCATACAAACTAGGCATTTTTAAGGCCTACATGATAATCCACCCCATAACCATAGTACTTGTACGACTGAGACAATAGGATCATGAGTTCAAAGATAGCCCGGGATACGCAGGAAATTCTAAGACAGCCTGTGCTTACTAAGACCCTATCTCAGAAAACCAGTAAGTGAATAGTATAGATCTTCTTACTATACCCATTTTACAATTAGTCCATCTAATCTCCAGAAGAATTAAGTAATTCCCCGTAAATTTATAACATTACTAGTGTAAGCCAGGGACCAGACTTGAACGTCAGGAGTCTGGCCCCAAAGGCCTAGTATTACATATATGTCCAAATGTTCTCGTGTTTTACATTTCTACCCTGCCATGATACATATGAGTTTGTGTATTCCAGGACAGTATGACTATTGTTACTTTATTTATCCCTGTAGGATGGTCTGAACTCATGTGAGTCCCTTCAGAAGGACCCTCTGAGTCATGTGTCACTGCTCTGCCTGGTGAGGAGTGTGGTTGGTGATAAGGACAATTAGACTAGACTGCAAGAAGAGATGTACAAGAGTATAAGGATTGGATCCTTTACCTAAAGGGGAATGCCTTGTAGCGATGTCTGAGGCCAGGATTAGTGTGTAGAATATTGGAGAGACTCTTATAAATCTATATATAAAAGAAAACAAAAGAAAATGGCACAGGGCATGAATGGGTAGCTTGCTGAAAAGGAAATACCAATGGCCAACAGCAATGTCATTAGAAAGGCATATGAATACTATCAGAAGCCACTTGCCACACACAAGAATGCCCCTTTCTATTACATGCTTTGGGTCTTGGAGTAACAATCCATGGATGTGGCAATTAGCCTAATCACATTAGATGATAACTTTGCACAGTCTATTAGATTTAAAACCCTCTGGGAATGAATAATTTCACTTATCAGCACCTAGAGTACTGTTTATGCAACTGCAAAAAAAAAAAAAAAAAAGGACCTGCAAGGACAGTCACTGTAGCACTGTCTGTGCCATAAAATTTAAAAGTTTAAGTGTATATCAGTGGGTTAAAAATCAAATAAGGCATGAGTGAATAGCCACTTAGAGTGTGGCAACAGGCCTGAGAGATGGTTGAGTGGTTAAGAGTGCTAGGTGTGCAAGCATGAGGACCTGAGGCTGGATCCCAGCACCCACATAGCAAGCCAGTGTGCACACCTGAAACACCAGGACTGCGGGAGACAGAGACAAGAGGTCTGCTGGGGCTTGAGGGCTACCAGCCAAGCTCTAGGTACAATGAGAGACCCAGTCTCAAAGGGATAAAGAGGAACATTAGAGGAGGACACTGGCACACACACCTGCACACACACCACTCACACACATAAACGTTTTTCTAAAAGGATGTGGTAAAAGGTCAGCTAAGTCCCAATATAGCTAAGTCTCTAAGACTAATTTGACTAATTTGAAATTTTTAAAAAATTGTATTGCATAATGGAGACAGCTTAATACCATTTATGCTTTGCTTAAATAGTTACAAAGCAATAGCATGTATTGCTGATGGGTACACAGGTAAATACAGAAAAAATGCCTGGAGGAAAATGTTCCAAATTGATTTTTGTTGTTACTCTTGTTGACAAGCAGAAATTGGGTTTTACAAAGAGACATGGATCCTTTTCCTGTAGCATCTCCTTTTTATAAGGTGAATGGATGAACGCGTGATTAGTCATGTATTTTCTTCTTTAACACATGTCGGGAGCCACTCCCGCCATTACAAGATGGCGCC